CAGGCATAAGTACAGTGATGAGAAACAAAGATGAATAAAATGAGAACTTACTTCCAACTATCTACTTGGAATAGAAAGTTAAAAGGTAATGCTTCCTGGAAGTCTTATATACATTATCTCATTTGATCTTGCAACAGCTTTGAGAGGTATGCAATTGTGAATAAAATGGGTCTCTCAATTTTACAAGGAAGGAAAGTCAGATTCAATGAAACCAATTGCCTATGGTCAGATAGTACTTGAGCCCACCCCCAAAGGATGAGTAGAATTTGGGTAAGAAGTCTCTCCATATTGTAAGAAGTGTGAATGAAGGCATAGACATGGATGAACAAAGGAATTTCCATTTGATATACAAGGAAATAGAGTAGGAAGAATCTTTTTCAAGAACAAATTGAAATGTTATTTCTTTTTGAGGCAAGGTAGTTGAGTAAAGTGTTTCATATATGTAGGCTCTTTTGGCAAGTTCCAGTTTAGTAACTTTTAGAGTGACATGTATATTTTACCTTTTAAAACTTCTATCCAGATAGAATATTAACAATATGTTTTTGTTTTATCATGACAAACGTTAAGTTACTTAAACATTAAAATTATAACCCCTGGAAAAAGACTCCTCAAGTCCTGGTATTCCATGAACTGTGTACAATCTTGATGGCTGATGCCAGGAAGGTCACTACCTCTTTTTGGCTTATTGCTTCCACTTGCAATTTACTCTGGGAAAATTGCCAGTTTGACTCATGTCTAGGTTTCAACAAAGGTAGATGAATGGATGTGCCCAGCTTCTGCACAAGCATTCAAGATAACAAACATATGAATGATGTTCAGCATTTATTTCTTCCCACATAAGATGCAAAATACTCACAGGAGTCCATAAATAGACATTGAAAACATATAAGACATTCAATGGAATCACAGGAGTCCATACAAAATAGAGAAAACACATAAAGCACTCATATGGTACACAAACTCCCCTTGGAAAGGAAATCAATTTGGGGTTACAAGTGGGGCCACCCCTTAACCTTACCTAGTGATTCCTACTTCCCCACAGGCTCAATGTGTCCCTTATGGTTTTGAATTTTTTCAGAAGGTAAATACACTTTGGGATTGATGCACAGTTCCCATTTGATCTAGGGCATCTGAAACTCATTGTAATAATATGTTGAGATTGGGGGGAAGGGAAAAGAATTACTAAAATACTGATATCTTGCTGCCCTATTGTATGTCTTTAATTCTTAGTGTTTCTCTAGCAGGATGGACCTTGTGGGTATTCTTCTTTTTCCTCTTAGTAGAATACTTCTCATGGAATTCTTCTTTTCTTTAGAAGGTCTCTGAACTTTTGATCAATGGGGTTACTTGCAGGACATTCCCCAAAACGGTTACAGTCCAAGAAATCTCCCTTCTCTAATAAGAGAAATAGATTCCATGATTACACTGTGTAGGAGTACCCCACCCCTAAACATTGGAGGCTAGTGTTCTGAAAAATTATCCATGAATTTCTCTCTTGAGCCACATAAACAAGAATGTCAACTTTCTCCAATTACTTCTATCATAGCCCCAACTGCTTTCATTTCTGGCTTGGGGAAAGTCCATCAAAAAAAAAATCTCATGGGGCAAATGGACAAGGAACCTGTAGGCCAGTACCTGTAAGCTCCATTTGCTCCTATTCCAGTCATCATTACTAATTCCTGGGAGGACAATACTGTGCATATATAAGGGCCCCCAATTTCAATCTGTCCCCTCCAGAATACAAGTCTGCTTTGCTCTAGTCTCAGTTTTCTGAATAGGGAATAGTAAAAAAGAAAAAAAAATAGCAAAAGGGCCAAGCAGGTCATATTAAGCCAGTGAGAAAGGCAGCTTTTTACACGAGGGCCTTACCTCCTAAGTCCCAGTCAACCAATACACCACTTCAGTGTATAGTTTATTTATTGTCCATGAGCCTTGAGATTTTAAATGAAGATTGATATAAGAAAAAACTTTTCTTAGCAATCAAAATAGCCTAAAAGTGGGGGGATATAGTTTCTCCCTCATTGGAGTCTTCAATGCCTGTACATGTTGGATCAATAAGCTCAAGTGACTATTCAGGACACCTATTTGGTGTTTAAGACTGCCTTTCACAAACTGGCTCCAGCTTACTTTTCCAGTCTTACTATATATTATTCCCCTTCATTCACTCTGTAGTCCAACCAAACTGGCCTTCTTTCTATCCACACATGACATTCCATTTCAAGTCTCCATGCCGTTTTCCTCTGTTTCTCTGTCATGATAAAAATTGTTGCTATAAACATCTTTTTGTATTTGTAGATATCTCTCCTTGGTCTTGGATCTTTTGGGGGCATATACCCAGTAGTGATACTCCTGAGTCAAAGTGTACATATTGTTTAGTGGCTTTGGGGATTTATTTCCTAAATTGTTTTGCAAAATGGTTGGCTCAATTCACAGCTCCACCCACACTGGATTAATGTGCCTGACCACCCTTAATACTTCCAACAATTGTCATTTTTTCTTTTAGCCCTCTTTTTTTAAATTAAATTTATGTGAGGTAGAAAATCTGTGTTTTAATTAGAACTTGTTTGTGACTTGAATTTATTCACATACTTGTTTATAGCTTGAATTTCTTTTTTCAATAATTGCCGACTCATAAATTCTCTATATATCTTACATATCTGATCTTTATCAGAGAAATTTCAGCAAAAATGTTTTCCCAGTTCAGTTTCTCTTCTCATTTTGACTATGGACTAAGGGTAGGGATAAAGTAAAGTAAGGGTAAGGAGTATGTATATGTGTATGATGCCCATATATATGATACGTGTCCATATGGATCTGTCTGCATATGACTCATGAGGAATCTTTTCCACCCAGCCTTCTCCAAGAGAGAATTTGATTCCTGCCAGGAGAGGATAGTAGATTGGAATCAGAATCTGGCCACTGAAATAGTATTGGGATAGAAATATCTATTGTTGTTGTTATTATTGTTTAGTCATTTCAGTCACGTCTGACTCTTTGTGGGCCTGTTTGGGATTTTCTTAGCAAAGATACTGGAATGGTTTGCCATTTCCTTCTGCTCATTTTACAGATAAGGAAAGTGAGACAAACAGGGTTATGTGACTTGCCCCCAATACTATTAGTCTAAGGAAAACAATTGCTAAATTCAAGATAATTTCCTGATTACTTTCCGTTAATGAAGAAGATTGTCCCAGCTATATATCCAAGCCTTGACTCTCTTCCCACCAAATGCTAGTTCCACAGTGAATACACACACAGCAAATACCAATGTATAACAAACAGAAATCAGATAAATTACACTAATAAGAATATATAAGAAACAAAACAGAGTGAATAAGTCCTAAAAGTGAAAGAGAGAGAGAAAGAGAGAGAGAGAGTATCAGATCTCACTCAAGGGGAATTTCTTCTAAGATTCTAGTATGGTAAACCGGGGATAGGGGCAAGGTTGAAGTGCTCTACCTGTTGGCTTCTTCCCCCAGTCTTTCCTTTCCTTCAGGGATCAGATGAGAGTCTGGAACCATATGTCTTCTTTCTTGAATCTGGAAGCCAAAACACTAGAATCTCTCTTCTACTAAGCACTCAGAGGTTGGAAGAGACCTGGAAAGGCTTCCCGCAGGAAATGATATTTCCTTCCTTGAATTGGAAATTCTTAAATTGAATTGAGATTCTTCCACCAGTTTGTTTACTCTCCTAAAACATTTCACAAGATTTTTGACCTGGAATGGATCTTGAGAGAATTCAAGTTGGAGCTAATCTGAAAGTGGCTCAGGAAGCTGACCAGGAATGAGACCAATTATAGTCCAGGGGAAAGTAACAAAGTAGGTAATTGATTGAAGAAGTAGTGATTATTTAGCTTGGAAAAAAGGCTAAGCAGGAACATGGGCAGCTGTGTTAAAACATTTGGATAACTGTCATGTAAGAAGGAGTCTTTAGAGGCAAAGCAGACAACAGGGTGTTCAGTTAGGAGACCAAAGTTTGATTCCCAGGTCTGCCACTAAATGGCTATATGATCCTGGGCAAGTGCCTTCACTTTTTGGAGACTCAATTTACTTATATGTAAAATAGGGATAACAGATATTTACCATACAGAGTTGTTGTGGGATTAAAAAAAATGCTTCAAAAACCTTAAAGCACTATGTAAATTCCGGTAACCAGGATGGTTTCCTAGTCCATCCCCTACTTCAATACAGAAACATATCAACAACAATCAGCCATCCTTTATTAAGCATCTACACTACTATGTGCTAGGCTCTGGAGAACAAAACCAAAAATGAAACATTCCCTGCTCTCAAAGAGCTAAATTCTACGTGGGGAGGGAGACTGCATTTACATCCATATAAAATAAATACAAGATAGTTTAGGGAAGAAGGGCCCTAGAAGCTGGGAAATCAGGAAAAGCTTCAAGTAGAAGGTGATACTTAAGCTGAGTTTTGATGAAAACTAGGTATTCTAGTGGAGTGGGATCATTCCAGGCACTGCGTACAGTGCAATGCAAAGGCCAGGAGATGGGGAGAGCAAGGCTTGGGTGTAAAGAACAAGAAGCAAGCGGTTACAAGGGATCTCACCTTTATCAAGAGAGCGGAAATCAATATGACCTAAAACCATATGTATATTTTTTTTTAAAGAAGCTCTGGGCAATTTCATGGATTGGTTGCTTTTTTTTTTTTTTTTTTTTTATGTTACCACTTGTTAGAATGCTTGGATTCTTCCTTAAGCAGCAACAGTCGGATCACTCCGCCTTTTTCAGAGGCGGGTTGCTTCTAGTCCTCTTGTCGGTCTGTGATGGGCTAAAGGATGGAAAGACCAGGAAAGGTTGTGTCTTTTTTTTTTTAAGCACCGAGACTCCGCCCAGACTGACCCCCTGTAGCAAAAGGAGAGGCGGGCGCGCAGGCCAGCTGGCTCTGAAGCCCAGGCGCTCCTCCAAGGAATTTGGCCTCACTAAGAAGGGGGCAGGGTAGGCGAGGGGGAGGATCAGAGTGCAGGAAAGCGGCAGAAACGTGCGGGCAGGCCCTCAGCACCAGCAGCGGCTGCGGCTGCCCCACCCCCGGAGAACCTGGAGGAAGATTGGAGGAGAAGGAGAAGAAGGAGGAGGAGGAGGAGGACAATGTGGACCCCGCTCCAGAATTCCGTGGAGGTGGCGTTGCGCAGGAACCCTCACCGCCTGTGTGCGGGGACCCTGGGGGTGGCGGTCAGCCTCTTCCTGCTCGGCTTTCTTTTCGGTAGGCGCCCGCAGTCAGAACGCTTCCCGGGCTGGGTTGCAGGTCCTGTTTCCCCCATCATTCCCTGGGGCTGCCCGGTTAGCTCACCCTCTTCTTCAATCCCTGAGAAGCGGAGTAGGGGAAAGGGCTAGTTAGGGATGTGAAATGGAGAGTCAGCTCAAGGCTTACACTGGGGCAGTTGTAGGCTTAAATCTTTCCTCCCCTCCTTGCTTCCCAAAGGTAATTCTTGCATCCTTAAACTCTCCCGAGCTACTAGTTTCAAAGAATTAGTAATTACACCCGTCTGTACAGTGCTTCTTCTGGGAGGCGGGGTCGTAGTGGGAGAGAGTCAGAGTGCCTCAATTTCGATCCTAGCTCAGACCACCTGTGTGATTTGGGGCATGCCATTTCACCATCCTGGGCCTTGGCTACGGATCGTGAAGCCGGTCCATTCTATCTGCGTCCGTGATGCCTCTCACCCCTGCAATCCTGCGCGTGCGAGGCCCAGCCTGCTTTTCAGGAATACCTAGGATAGATGCCATACCTAGGGAGTACACACACGGAAAGGTCCTTTTTACATTAGCTGATAGACTTGTTAGCAGCAATATTCCGGGGTTATGAAAATGTGTGCTTGGCAGCTTGCTTGCTTGTATGCAATGTACTAGTAGCATGCCTCCGGGTCCTTGGAGATTCATGTCAAATCTCTTTAAACCACTTTTCCTCATTGGGAGTAAAGGGAGCTCATATGGAAGTGCTGGAATCTTCCTGCCCTTTAGGAGTCGTTAGTGCTCCTATACGTCTTTATTGAAGGTACTTACCATTAAGTAAAAATACCAAAATTCCAAAGTACCTCTCTTTTTCTCCTGGGATATCTTACAGGCTGTGACTCAAAATTGCAGACTTTCGGAGCCATAGAATGTTAACTCTGGAAGGGCCCTTGCAGATAAATGAAGTGGTGGACTTTAGTCACAGAAAGATCCAAGTTCATATTCCACTACCTACAGTTACTAGCTTTGTGGCCGTGGTCAAGTTGCTTGTCTTCTCTAAGCCTTAGCTTTTTCACCTGCAAAATAAGATTAATATTACCTGTAATACCCATTCCACAAGACTGTATGAAGCTTGGGTGGGCTGGCATATGCAAAGAGAAGTGCCATATAAATGTCACATTATCATTATCTAGTTCTGTACCCTCATATACATCTTAAATCTGGGATAGGCCAGTATGATGGTTTGATTAACACCTAATACAGTGCCTTGTACACAGAAGATGCCTAATTAATGGTTGTTGAATAGAATTGCACTGAATTGACTTCAATTTAGAGTGAACCAAGGTAGACATAGAGGAATACAGTCTGGGTCTGAAGCATGAGCTCCATTCCTTCAGCCCTCCACCTGCCTTACTGTAACAGTGAGGTCTGCAGTATTTTCCAATGTCATAATCTCTTGATTCCCCAACTACTGATAAGATTTTATTTTATTTTTTTCAGCCAAAAACAAGGTTTATTGAAGATTTGCCATATTAGCTAGACTCTTAAGGATTCTGAGCATCTGTGGGCTATTGGCTAGATTGTGAAAATCTGAGCAGTGGCTAGATTATAAGAATCCCAGTCTCTTAATGGTGACAAGATGGACCTTATATACAGAAATGATGTGGTTTTGGGGGTTCAGGGGTCCTGGGACCCCAAAATCACAACACGGGTCCTGCATGAAAGAATTTGATCCAAGCCTTCTTTCAGCCAAAGACAAGGTTTATTAGAACATCCATCTTATTGGGCAGACTCTTAAGGAGTCTGAACATGGGTAAACAGTGGCTAGATTATAAGAATCCCAGCAGTAACTAGATTTTAAGAATCTGAGCCATGGCTGGATTATAAGAGTCTAAGCATTGGCTGGAGTTAGGAATCCCAGCAGTGGCTAGATTTTAAGAATCTAAGCCCAGATAAGATTTTAAATACAAATTCTTGCCAGGATAACAAATGCAAATTCTTGCTAAGATATAAGAAATAGCTGCCCCCCCAAAAAATGATAATCAGATTGTTATTTGAAACAAAGTTTAGCTAAATTGGTTTAGGATAGAAACACAGTTCAGAAAATGAGAGGTTACTCATCCCTCTAGTAGAAATCAATCACAGTCAATAAGCGTACTATGTGCTGTAAGCACTGTGCTAAGCATTTGGGATGCAAATACAACACATAAAATAGAACATTAGATCTCCAATTTAGACCTTGCTTCATGTCCTAATTTTTCTACTAAATATCTGTGTGATTAATCTTTGGTAACTGTTGAGTCATCTATTTCTCCTTTGAGCCTCAGTTTCCCCATCTGTAAAATGAGAATGTTAGACAACATGATCTTTGAGTTCTAAATCCTTTCAGCCCTAAATATTAAGATTTAAAATTGGCCCAGTTCATGATGAATAAAATACCTGTTTGAGCCAGAAGAGATTTAGTTTAAGATTGGAGTTCTACTCCCATCCCCCTTTCTGTAATCCTTGTGTGCTATGAGTTTATCAGAATTCTTTTAGCTGTAAGGTTTGATTAGAGGTTAATTGACAGGTGGTACTATACAAATACATTATGTAGCTCCAGGCTAGAGTAGCAGCCTAGTCAGCATATCTATCTAAAAGTGCTTATTGACATTGAATAGAACTTTGAACAGTTCTATTGAACAGATCAGTTGTAGAATCTTAGCCAGATTTCCTAGCCAGTTGTTTACAGAATTCAAAGTTGTTTCTTTGAGGAGAATAACACTTATTAAAAGTTTCAATAAAGCAATTAAAATTCCCCAGATAATCTAATGATGAACTAATATGTGATTTCTTTTCATATATTTTAATTAAAAGTGAAAATAAATGTATTGCAAATATCATACAATGTTTGGGGAAAATTAGAGAACAGAATATAATAAAGTAAAATACTTCATTTTACTGAGTAAGTTAGCCAATGGCAAAATTGCAAAATTAAAAAAAAAAACTTTCATCTCTTCTTTCCTCCCCCTCCTCCATCTCTCCTTTTGGTGATTTTCTGTTTCTTTCCTCACTTTGGCATATGGTATTCTTATACTGCCCTGGGCATAACGCATGGGTACCCCAAAAAGACTGTTCTTGGGGATTTTACAGCCTAATAACCATACACAGGCAATCCCCTACCAGAGCGTATCTGATGCCTTTTATCCTATCCTTTCAAGAGCTCAATTTTTTGGTGTTGGCTAATCTGATAGTTTAATCTGTGCTAATTTTGCTTTTTTGAACATCACTTGAAAAATGAGGATACTAATGCTGCTACTTCACCTCCTAGTGTCATGAAGAAAGGACTTGCTAAGCTTTAAAGGGCTTAGCTAAGCAAGCTTATATCAAAGTATAAGTTAATTATAACTATTTTTTACCTCATGAACTGCCTTTGAGCTCAGCTCTTCTCAAGAAATAATATCTCCATAGGAGTTACTCTGAGTACCCTCACTCCATTGACATCAGCAGAATTCAGTAACTTCCCAGGGATGAGACTTCTTATGCAAATTACTGCCCCAAACTTATCCCATGGGAGATATCTAGTAAACACAATTGTGTGATAGTCAACATACCATTATTCTGTTTCACCAACATTCTAACTGGAACTTTGAAAGTAATAACTGAAAGAGCCTATTCTATTAGTTCTGCTTTGACTGAAAGGCATGGTGGCTGAGTGAATAGATAGACTTGGGATCAGGTCAACCTCTTACTCATAATAGATCTAAGTGATCCTGACCAAGTTGGTGCATTTCCATGTCTAGGGGTTCCCTACATTAATAAAACTACAGGTACAGTCCCTATCCCCTACTTTGCCTACCCAGCATGTTTCTCTTCTGGGGGAGAGAAGATAATAAATTACATTTTGAAAATGCTAAGTCTGAACTGCCCACAGAACATCAGGTTGGATCTGTCCAATAGCAACAGTGGAGATCAAGAGAGAGACTGAGGCTGAATATATAGCTCCGGGAATAATTTTCACAGAGAAAGTAATTAAACCTTTTGAGAAGAGATGAGATGATCAAGAGAGGATATATAAAGAAAAAAGGATCCAGGAAGAGCCATCCACTTCTTTCTTCTCAACCCTCCCTCCATTCTCCTCTCTCTCCTCTATCCTCCTATCCCTTACCTCCTTCCCTTCTGTCTCTTCCCTTCCCCTAAGGACTTTAGTGGGTAGAGCACTACATTCAGATCTGGTCTCCCTACATAAGCAGTGACCCAGGCAAGTCATTTAAATTCTATCTTCCTCAGTTTCCTCAGTTGTAAAATGGGCATAAGAACAGCACCTGCCTCCCAGGGTTGTGAGGATCATGCTTAGCACAGTGCCTAAAACATAGTAAGTGCTTAATAAAGCTTTGTTTCCTCCCTCCATGCTTCTTTGTATCGCTGTTTATTGTTTCTTATGCCATATTAATATTCTGTTTCATATTAATATAGTATAATGTATTTAGCCATTTCTCAGTTGTTGAGTATCTACTTTGTTTCCAGTTCTTTACTACGACTAAAAGTGCTGCTATAAATATTGGTGTATTTTAGTATGTATTGAAGCCTTTTTGTGAATTACCTCTTTAAGGCATATGCATAGAAGTAATATCTCTGCTGCAGTAGACATTTTTATCACTTTCTTTTTATAATTCCAGATTGCTTTCCAGAATGGTTGGACAAATTCTCAGCTCCAAAACCAGTGCATTAGTGTGTCTGTCTTTTTACACTGTCCCTCCAACATTGACCGTTGTTGAGTGTGAGGTGAAACCTCAGAGTTCATTTGATTTTTATTTCTCTTATTTTTGTGTGTCTCGGAGCATTCTTTCATATAGTTGTTAATAGTCTCTTTTAAGAACAGTTTGTTTATATCTTTTGAACCATTTTTCTTTAGGGTTGGCTTCTTAGTCTTTTATAATCCTATTAATTGTGTTCTGCATGTGATATGACTATGTGTGTATGTGTATACATTTGTGTATATGTATATACACACAAATGCTTAGTAAAACTTTTGGAGGTATTGATATAAAGATG